AGTCACATTCAGTTCACTGCATGCCAGCTCAGATGATGATGACTGTTTAAATGTAAAAAAAAAAAATAAAATAAAATTGCTCATCAAAAACATGTAAAGAAGGAAGTGTATTTTGTTTATAAAGATTGCTCCAGTCTAGTCTGTGATCATTCCTTATAAGAAGCCTTTTAAATGTGATGGGATTGAAGAGGGACACAGCCAGTGGCAGATCCAGAGGGGGGGCAGTGATGCGGTTGCACCCCTAATCAGACTGGTCTGTATTGCTGGAGTCTCTGGGGACTTTGGGGACTTTTTTTAAAGTGGAAGAGAATTCCTGCCCCCCTTCTCTGTGCTCAGAGGCGTGTCCCCTCCTCCCTCCCTTGTTCCTCCATCCTCCACATGCTCTGGCTGCTTTCCCTGCTATCCCCAGGGGCCAGGAAATCTTCAGAGCTGTTCCTGCCCACTCCAACTGCAACAGCTATGGCAGCAACAGCAGCAGTGGCTTCCTGTGCCTGCTCCTGGGGGGCACAGGCAGTGTGGGGGAACCCACCTCCTTACTGCTGCTGCTGTTCCCAGCAAAGCTCAGCGTCTGCACAGCTAGGCTGGAATAGGCAGGAGCAGCTCTAAAGCTTCCCTCACACCCAAGTTAGCAGGGAAAGCAGCAGCAACTGAAGGAGGAAGGGACAGAGGATGTGCATCTGAGCTTGGAGGGGCAGATGCTTACCTGCTTTGGAAACTTTAAAAAGTCCCCAGAGACTCCTGCAGCCAGTTTCCCCCCAGCGTTGGGTTGTGGGGAGGAGGCTAGGAGGTTGTGAGGGTTGCAGCCACCTTTGCAGCATGCTCCTGCGTAGCACAGGGAAACTGCCCCTGCCCAGTCGGTCAGGGATGGGCAGAGGTTGAGGGAGGTGGGGATGGGACAGAAAGGCTGCAGAGGGCAAGGGGGCTGCCTGACTCTCTCAGCCCCCTGCCACCCAGCCACTGCTTTCCATACTGTAGCAATTGAGGGGCGGGGGATGAATGTAAACAACCTTCAAATAATTAGATTTTAAACCTGGGAGATTATTTTAAAATTATAAATTTTCCATATATATTATCTAATTATGTTTTTCTTTCTTCCTTTTTTTTTTAGAGTGCCTATGCCATACCAACCATGGCCTTCTCCTTCCTCTGCCACACCTCAGTATTGCCCATCTACTGTGAGCTCCGCAGGTAATGTATCAACACAGTGATGATGAAATAGAACGATAAAGCATTCAGACAAAGATTTCTGAAAAGCTGATGCATGCTCTGCTTAACTCAGTTTAGACAATGCAGAGGACCCTTTTGAAATTGAGTATTGATCTGAATCAACAATGACATTTTGCTTGTTAAATTATTTGTGGGTTGGAGAAAAATGAGAAACCATGTTTTCATTGCCATATATAGTCATTTTCAATGGGGTGAGGGCAGGGAACAAATCCTTTGCCAACATTCACTTCTCCCTCCACCCCCAGCCATAAGAGAGCCCGTGTGTGGTTACTTATTATAAACATAGACGGGCAAAGTAGAAGGTGAATCTCAGAATTGCAAGCTGCCTTTAAAAACAATGTGAAATGTTCAGTTTACAGTTTTAAGGGACATTTATTCTTGTTTTTTGTGTTTGGTTTTGTTTTGTATTCTAGCCCATCCAAAAGAAGAATGCAGAATGTGACCATCACAGGAATTAGTCTGAGTTTTGTAATCTATTTTGTATCTGCCTTGTTTGGGTACCTTACTTTTTATGGTGAGTATGTTCTTCAACTGTTTAGACTGCGAGGTAATAATAAAATATTTTTGACATCCTGCATTGCATAGTAGGTGTAAAAAATGTTGCCTCTTTCCAAGGATTTTGGTCCTTGATTTTATGTGATTTGAATTATTCAGTGTATTCACACGCTAAGGGGTGCAAGTTTCTGGAGGACTTGCCTACTTTTTTTTGTATAGTATAAGCCCCCAAATAAGACATGCACCTTGTTTTGGGAAGTCATAGTGAAGATTTAAAAAAAAGATTTTTCCAGTCATGGCTAAATGCTGACTATAAGAGATCCTGATTGCAGCCACTGTGGCTGAAAGAGGGTTGACACTAGCTCTGACCCTATGGCTAGGTACAGACATTCAAAAAGTGGAATCTGAGGTGGTATCGATCCAAGTTAGAGGGTTTTCTGTAAGTGGTGTAGTTTAGATTGGCAGTGAACAGAACACATTAGCCCTTTCATGGGGGGGGACGCAGTTCTTCAGGTGCAGACAGAAGTGCAGCTCCCAGATGTAACTTGGAACGTTTTCTGCAGAGCGCTCTGAGTGACAGCGTTACCCCGGACCAAACAGAGGTCAGTGTTGGTTCCTGGGGGGCGGGGAATCCAGCTGTGGGCAGGGAGCGTGCAATCAGGCTCCGATAGCAACAATAGCCGTGGCTGTCGACCAGTGCTCCCCATCTTCAGAATGAGAGGGGGAAATGGCAGCTGAGGGAGCTTCTTCTTGGGGCTCCCCAGCCAGTGCTCAAGGGTGGGATGGATAAAGTCAGCCCCCCCAGCCACCTCACGGGGGGTGGCACCAATACACCCATCTCACCCTTGGGGTGGGGGGTGGGGGCTGAGAAAACCCCAGACTGAACTCCCTCCATTCCCTTCCCCCCACTCCCATTCTGAAAACAGTGACAGGCTGGGAGTCCACAGGCACAAGTTACAGAGGACATTACATTTTGAAACGTCTTCATCTGATGTCTTACGCAATGAGGGATCAGATTTTCACCTGGTCAGCCATTTTTGAAGCTGTCTGCAGCTGTGCACTTGTGTTTGGTCACAGCTATAAACTGCTTTCTGTTGCCAGATTGGTCAAAAATCGTGACTTCTGGCTGTGCCTTTAGACTGGGTTCTATCACTTTTAAACCAGTCTGTGTGCTGAACTTCTGTTCTGTTATGGGTATAAACTGGTTTCTGAGTGATCACTTATACCAGTAAGAGCATAATGTCTGTACCTGGCCTAAAGGATAAAACTCTGCCCTCTCCCTTGCTCTCTCGCTGAGGCCAGCAAAGGGAGAATCATGGCAGGCATCTTGCAGCGGCGTTTCCCTACTTCTATTCTTCCATGCTTCTGTTCCAGCAAAGAAAAATCAGCTTTCCCACGTGAGACATGGACCCCAATTTTAGAGGGCTTATTTTTGAGGAAAAAGGTGTGTTTGGCAGATATGGTAATATCTGGAAACATCTGGAGGATTTAAAGCACATATTGCACATTTGAAATAGTTACAGCTACTTGGGTCCCAATTCTGCTTAATGTTTGCAAAGTTTATGTGACATCATTTTCACAGTGTATAAAGATTGTAAGCCTTTGCAAGATTAATGCCCAAGCAATTGCTCGGGTAAACGGTCCCCACTTTTATCTGGGTTTAGTGAAATATGCTGTAAGGACAATTCTACACCAGATACATGTCACAAGCTAAACTACCCCTTGTTCTGCCTTGCACCGTGCAGCACAGAGCCTGTCATGCCTTACTCCATGGGCTCAACTAGTAGCAGGACTGCTCTAGGTTCAGGGAGGTGTCAAGGTGCATTAGTTACCTTTTGAACCTCTTCCGGAGCTTTACTGCATGCGGCTTGAAGACAGTCCATGATCCAAGATGTAAATTCCTTTTATTGGCTTATCGAAAATGAAGTTGCACAAATTGGTGCAGGAATCTGCCAATCAAACAAAAAAAGAAAGTTAAGCAAATGCTCATCTAAGCAGTCATACTCATGACTTGCTTCATGTTTCTTTATGCAAGGTAACTTCCTAAAAACACTTTTGCTGTGCAAGGCCTAAAGGAGAACAAAAGGATGAAATAAAATGAGGTGATACAAACTGTGGACGATAGTGGCCATAGGGACCAAGATGTGATTAATGTTGAAGGCTTCTTAAAAAGTTCCTTCCATTTCATTAGGGATATGAAGGTGTTACTGGGGGGTTTTTTTGGTAGATAGAATCAAGTTTTCTGATTAAGACTCCACACATGAAAACCATTCGTATGCGTTCTGCAGACACCATTTTGCTAAACATCTTGTATGACCATATGCTAGAGCAGCAACTTAATAAGTGTCTGTAGTTGAAGATGCAGTTCATGAATACTTCCAGATGCCACTTTTTAGCAGGGCTTGCATTTTCCCAGGTGTATGATCAGATTTCAGAACTCTTACCTACACAGTGGCTTTCTTTTTTTAAAGGTCCATCATAACATTGACAGAAATAGGTGAGTGACCTGTGTAACGTATCAGTTTAATCTCCTTGTATAACGTAGATAGAAACTCCTTTGTAGTTGTGTGACTGGTGCTCCAGTGTGACAGTGTTTGCAGTGCCTTGTCGTGTAGCATCGCAGTATTGCTCTTCCATGTCCCCTGCTCTGTTTTCACCTTGTATGCTTTGTTCACGTAGTGTGCATGCTAGCGTTGGATTCTCTTTCAAGTTTCCATCCCGCAATCCGGATCAACTGTCCTCTGCAGTATGGTGGTATTATACAAATACAGTCACCTAAATGCTCTGTGGCCCTGATGAGCAGTTGGAAAGTAAAAACCCTGAAAGGATTTTACTTTCAAACTGCTCATCAAAACTTGCTTCCTCCCTGGAAGTCAGCACACACTAACATACATCTGTCTAAATAAATAAATATTCTTAGCAAACCAGTGGGGGAAAAGTATTCTGAAAACAAGCCTGCTTCTGGGTCTCATAGTATGTGCTGCAGGTTTAGAAAGTTTGTGGAGGTGGACATCATCTTATATTAGCACCAAGCATGTTGACCCTCAGCAAATAATAATCATTACTGAGCTCTGAGAAACTGCACAGAATTTTTACAAAATTAAATGCTTCTTCAAAGCATTAATGTTTGTGACCACAGAAGTCTTTTAAATGTGTTCTAGGTGCCTACAGTCCCTGCTACAAATTGCATGGGAGAGCCTTGGCATACCTAAGCCACTTTGCTAGTTTAGGACCACTGCTGCCATCTTTTTGACATGGCTAGTACTAGACAGGGTAGATATGCACCTTTATAGACAAACTAAAATAGATAATCTAGCACAAGCTTTTGTCATCAAAACTCACTTCATCAGTTGTTGTAAAGAGATATTCATAAAGCAGCGTGTAAGAAGGAGAAAAATTTGAACCATTATATACAGAGTCGACCCAAGCAGGGTGCGGGACCCGGGGCAAATGAGCCCGAGCAAGTCCCTGCCCGCACCCCGGATCTAAAAAAGCTGCCGCAGCCATCGGCAGCAGCGGGAGGGAAGGAGAGCAGCGTGGTAGTGAGCGGCTGGATGTGGCCACTCTGCCTGGCTCCGCGGAGTTCCCCAAAGTGTGGGGCCCGGGGCAGCGGCACTGATTTGCACCCTCTAGGGACGGCCCTGATTATATAGTTCAATGATGTATTGGTCGCCTACCAGATCTGCACCGATAAAAGGGAAATTTCCATTATTGGCTATCAGGTTTTTTTGCCAGTTGTAGTCAGTAATGTTTACCAGTTAATTATGCCTTCAGGCTAGGGCCCCGCACACCTGGGTTCCCTGTCCCCTGTGGGGCCTGGGGCTCCTGGATGCCTGAATTCCCTCAGGAGAAGGGTGGGTTTCCCTTTGCAGGCAGACGGCATTCTAGTCTGCAAGGGGTCTTCCTTGGGGCCGCCAGGAGCAAGACGCAGGGGGTGCTGGGTGCACGTGCATGGCTGCACGCATGCACGTGGCCAGGAATACATTCAGGTAGCATGGAGAGCAGCTTCCTGAAGGTAAGTCTATGGAGGGGAAGAGACATGGTGGGGGAAGCAGATTGAGGCCCCCACAGTGAGGAAGGGAGTGGGGCAGGGGCTGGGGCTGAGGGTGCTACCCAGCCAGGATGGTGCATAGGACCCACGGTTAAGGCAAGGAGCAGGACGAAGCCATGGGCAGCTTGCTGGAGGTGGGGGGTAGCGGCAGCTCCAGGAGGGGAAAGGGCCCTTCTCCCTGCTAGAGTCCAACTCCTGGGACCAGGGTCTGGCCGCGGAGGAGGAGTAGCCCAGTTTCTCCAGGCGTGCAATAGCCCTGTGGCCTTGTCCTGTGCAGAGGGAGGAGAGAGGGGAGCATAGCCCAGAGACCACCCAGCCCTGGGCAGCCAGTTAGGCTCACACCTTCGCCCTCAGCCCTGCTGGGCAGGCTCAGGCAGCTGCCCCTTGATACTTTTACTGGGGGACGCCGCTTTAATTAGACAGCCGCTCTAGCTAACGTGCTGCAGCGTCTCCTGTATCAGTGTCCCCGCGCTTAAAAACAGTGGTGGTGGTGCTTGAACTAAAGCGCATTCAACAAGCTTTAGTTCAAGCGCCCCCTCCACCATTTTTAAGCATCAAGGTGGTGACACGTGTGATGCAGGAGGCTGCTGGGTTGCGCCAAAAAAAAGGTTTGTTGGTAATTTAAAATGCCTTGCATTGTTACGAAATACCAGTTATCGGATTGGCATCAGCTGATATGGTCGGTTAATAATCGGCTATTGGTATCGGCTAACAAAATCTTTATCAGTGCACCCCTAATTTGAACGCAAAAGGCAGGGAGAAGGGAAGGGGGTGCAGGACTGGGAGAGAAAGTGAGCAAGCCCTAATCAGTCCAGTGTAGATGGCGGAGGGGCACTGTCAATAGATGATGGCAGATATGACATGGGTAGAATTGCAAGTGAATGGATCTTGGATGCTTATTGCTAGGGACCTACCGAATTCGAGGAGGCGGGTGGCTGATTTCATGGGCCTATTGTGGGGCCAGCTGCCATTTTTCACCAGCTAATAGTGGCACCCCTCCCCTCTCCCCACCTCTGATTGGCTGAGGGAGCTGTCCATCACATGGCCCCTCCCTAGGGCTGTGCCATCTTGGCTGCTCCCCTTCTCGCCGTGCCCCGCACAGCTGGCTGCAAGGCCAGGCCACAGCAGCCATGAGGAAGACTGGCTGCCACTGAGGAGCCAGCATTTTATTTTTAGTAAGTTTTTTTCTCCCGCAAATTCTACAAAATCGCGAATTGAGTAGGTCCCTACTCATACAGCCCTAACTTTAATTAATATTTATTGAACCAGAGAAGAAACCTATGGCCAATTAAATATCAGGGCAATGTGCTGCTGTTCATGAATGCAAGTACTTGGATTTAATACTTACTCAGCTAATTGCTACAATACTCATAACTTAAGTAAACACTTTTTGAGTTGAATTAAAAATTCAATAAAAATGGGGTCCAATTAAAGTGTAATTAACAATTCAAATTTATAAAATGAACAATGAATCTCAATTGGAGATGACTGGCAGGCATTTAGGAATATTAAGATTGTATGTGCTTATAACAGCATTTTCATCTGTGTGCTGGACCTATGCAGTTACCCAATATCTTATAATGATATCTTCTACCAATCAAAGAATCTGATTTCAAATTAGTTGAACAGCTCCACTTCCATTTTCTTTCTTGATTAGTTTTTACCAGAAGGCAAAGGTTTTAATTTATGTGTTGTTAATAACAATAGTAATGAGTTTATATATATATAATTAAAGAAATATATATTTTAGATAAATTGAAATGAGTATTGTAGGTCTTGCAATAAAGGAAAACTGTCAACACACACGTTTCAAACATTTTTTTTTTAAACTATGTTTTTAATTTACTAAAATATATATATTTTTACTATCAATTATATCAACCCATGCTAAAGTTTACTGGAATTTTTCTTTACTAAAATTACTGTTATACTTCAAGCTATGTACCTCACTTTCTGCAAATATTTTTGTTAACTGTAGCAGAGCTGGCAAGCCTATACAGTGGAAAAAAATTGACTAGGAAACACACTCAAAATATGTAATTGCTTATAAAGATTAAGAAAGTATTCTGGTCCTACCGCATTATGGATGCCATCTCCATATAGATAATTTCTATAACTAAATGTTTATTTTAGCATATGGTGTGATGGCATGAGAAAGAAAAGATATCTCCTGTTATTGGTAAATAAATGCTAAGGATAATTATACTGATAGGGTAAGTTACTAAATTTCTCCAGCAAATGCCAAATTGTTTCAACTATTGTTAACTAATGGGAATTGATGCTACTTTTCACCTTACAAATAGAATGTATCACTCATAGGATCACTCTCATTATTTTATTATAGAGGAATAAGAAAACCTGAAATAAATTTATTATAATGCCTATTTTTGCTAAAGAAATCTAGGTCAGATCTTGCAAATTCTGGCACTCCCAAGTCACAGATATGCTGGAACAAGTGTACTATACTATGAAGAGCCTTCAGCTGGGAAGTTTTTAAAATCTATTCAAAGTGGATGCAACTGACACACAAACTCCTATACTTGGTTGATATTGCACATTTTGAAGCTACATGCATAGGACCAAGCAGATGGAAGACAATAGCGCAATATAAAAAAAAAAAATCCTTGCTTTTATTTGATACAGCTGGCTATGTATAATGCTTTCATAACATATAAAGCCATAGCATCTGGTCCTTTGCTGTCATTCTTAGGGGTTTAGACAGCTATAATTGTGAATCACTTGTTTAATAAAGCAAACCTGACAACAACAATGGGTGATATCACCAGCCTCAAAAAGTCTTTCTTGTCTTTCAAGTTCTGTAAAAAAGTTCTCAAACTTCCCTGAAAACAATGCCCAGTCTACCAGAAAACAAGAAGGAAGATTGTGTTACCAAATCTGCCCATTACTTTGGGGTGTGCTCATTTATTAGGGATAGTTTCTAGGGTCTTGGTCGGACATCTGAGAGGTTTTGGGGTTGGTTTTTTGTTTTTGTTTTGGTGAAATCACAAATTGAGTAGGTCCCTATGCCTATTTATAACTCATGTTCTTTAGTCCCATGATTATGTGATCTGTGTTGATGTTGGGGCATGGAAGGCATCTGGGTCTGTTGCAAGGCCTCGTGCCTCAGTGAGACGGGGAGTTAAGTAGCCTGCTGCTCAGGCGACGCCGTTTGGGGTTGGGGGGCTGCCTGTAAGCCAGGACAGGTTTATCCCGTAGGGTTACTTTGAGATGATCATTCTTTTCAAGGAGGGTTGGAGATCATTAATGGTGCAATCAGTGGGGGGCAGTGGGACATCTAGATGGATTCTATGGTCCTTCTCCTGATATTGTAGCAGGTCAGAGTGAAGTCTGCATCTGGCTCTGTTGATTGGAGAGGCTACAGTTTGGGGATTGTATTGTAATGGTAGAAATGCTTGCTCCGGATGCCTACGGTGTGCACCCCAGTTGGTGGGACTAGAGCAGATGTGGTTGTAAGGTAGAACTTGGCTGTAGGCAGTGGATCTAGTGATGTGCTTAGCATGAAAACTAGCATGAAGGTAGTTGTGGCATTCAGTTGGTTTCTGATACAATATGGTGGTCATGTGGCAATTGCAAACCTCTTATTGTAGTGTCTAAGAAATGAATTTGCTAGGTTGAGTGTTCCAGAGTTAGTTTGATTTTTTTCTCTCTCTCTCGTCTGTATTACTTACAGTTTTATTTATGAAAAGTTGAAGGTGCAAGGTCAGTTGGCTAAGAAACAGGAGTTTGCTTCTGGGAGAATTTGTCATCTGATATAACCAAAAAGTTTCCCTATTGTGCGTCCCAGACGCAAAAATCCAGTTGTGCGACGTATGAATCCCATCCTCTTTCTGCATCCAAACTGAACAAAGATGGTTCTGAACTCTCACTACCCCTGAGGTCTTTATTCTTCAAACTGGAAATGTTAGTGAGCATCAGTACTGCTCCGTATCTAGCCCAGTGCTATAGCAGGGTCTCCCAAATATGTCATACCAAGCTGCAGCAAGTAGTTTGGAGCTGAGCAGGCTAAATATTCATGCATTCTTTAGCAATAATATGGAAAAAAGATGATAAAATAATACAGAAAAAATATTCAGAATCTTACTGGGTCTGGTTCTTTTCCTGCTGTGTTTGGTTAACAAAGTTTTCAAGCCCCACTAGCCACTTCTTGGATTTCTTATTTGAAGGCTATATCAAAAGGGCTTGGTTATGGCCAATCAAATCCAGCTATTCCCATGGGGGTATTGAGTTTACTGCCTAACGGGATAATCTGTTACTTCCTCGTCGTTTGTTCACTCTGAACCAGTAAGACACTTAAAGACATTTGCCAAATGGCAGCTCTGTTTAGTAGTCCAAGCTCTCACCAAATGCAGTCTGCTTTTTTTTTTTTTTGAACGAGGCTCACTGTAATTGAACTATTAATTATCAGATACAGAGCTTATGAATTTATCACTATATTCCAATTCTTCCTCCCCACCATTTCAGTTCCTCGTAGCCCCTTTCAGGGTACTTCCAAAATTCACCTCCAATATTTTGTTCATCCTTTCATGCTCAGCAAAATACTGCTGTTATGGTTATTCCCTCTAAAATGATCCCTTTATGTTTTACAATAGCTAAGACTTTCAGATATGTTCTTTAGTTACAGTGGGGACAATATAGCATCAAAAGGCATAACTTCATATTGGGTACAATCCGCGATCAAGGTTATTACTCCATTTTGAAAGGGCTTCTTGCGTGAACCAGCTGTCGTGCTAAAACATCCTTACCAAGTTTCTGGGCAGATACGATTTTGGATTTTTGGATGAGATCTGTGGGGTCACACTATAGACATCTTTTTTCCACTTTAACCTAGTGTTTATAGGCACTAGAGTGGCAATTACTCTCGTGTCTGGTTGTCAGTACTGATACCACAGCTCATGTATAATGGCCCCGATAGACATTCACTTTAAGATGTTATGGGATCTAATCCCCCCATCCCAACGGTTGCATGTCCTGCTGTGCTGCATGTGAATGACAGGACACATGGTTTTGGGAATTGAGGATTAGATCCACATCATGCCTTATTTGCTAGTGCAGGGGGAGCCTGGGCTCATGAGGGTTTATACAGCTGGTGCGCAAGGAGCTATTAAAACCATGTTGTGCTGCCCAGCGGGGGGGCATACAGGGTTTTGACGAGTCCCAGCCACATCTTTAATTTAAGGTGGGACACAAACAAGCCACAAAGTTAGTCCACATTCATCTGTGAAATAACGTGATTCCTTTACTGCATTATCATGCCTTAGATGGAGTTCCGCATGTGGCCAGGTTATTTAAGGCACAATTAACCAGTTAATCGGGTCTCAAATGTAATGTATCGGGGGCTATGTGTAATATTCAGATGTATGTGATTTCATATATGTACATCTGTGAATTTTGGACATTCCTGTTCTTCAGTCATCTCATCTCAATGCTTATATTTTCACTGCATATATTTTGATTTCACATATCCAGGGGTGGAGCCATCTTTAGGTTCTGCCTGTTTTCAAGCAGATGTTTTGTAGTTGGCTTCATTGATGCCAGGAAGAAATGTTATGCACATTACCTCCATGCTGCAGGGGGCATAGAGCAGTCTATTAGTTGATCCCAATCTAAGCTTTATGAGAATCGATATGTAGCTACAATACTGTTAATCTGTTTCTGAATACTCAGTGCTTTGTGAAGTAATCCTTTTTTTTTGGTATTTCAGACAAAGTAGACTCAGAATTACTACAGTGTTACAGCAAGTATCTGCCACGTGATATTGTCATCGTGACGGTTAAGCTAGGCATCCTGTTTGCTGTGCTTTTGACAGTCCCTCTAATCCATTTCCCTGTGAGTACTCCTGCCAGTTTTGAAGTCGGCATCAGAGGGTAGCTAATTCTTTGCAAACTGTGATATTTGAGTCATATCTAGTTTTGTATATCTGACTTATTTGTCACATTTTTGATCAAAGATCCCCAGACTTGCATATGTTCCATGAAAGCTCCAAAACAGCTAGCCACTAAGCTAACTTGTGCTTTTTCAGACTGCCATTAGGTTTAAACGACCCCACAGTGTAGTTTCTAATTTAAATAATACAGGCCATCTGAAATTTGTTTTGTTCGGAGTTTTTCTTTTCCCCTCCTTAAATTTTTGCTTTCGGAAGTGTGGAGAGGAAAAATCAAGTCAGCAAAATAAATAAATACTGTCCTTCTAATGACTTACGGAGCGTTTTTAAGGTAGTTTTTGTTTTCATGTCATATGCTCGCTTAAGGTAATGTTTATCACGTGACTAAGACGTTTGGGACACTTCACAATGAGAACTCATTCAGGCTCCCTCTACACGTGCAGGTAAAGGCGCAATTGGATAAATTTACACAATTGGACTTACTGCCATGTCACACATGCATGGCAGCAGGCGCGATTGTGGATTAAATCCCATTGTGCCTCATTACCAGTGCAGGAGAACCCATACCCCAGAGCCCTAGGGATTGCAGTAGCCATGATTCGCAGGATTCGGGGGTTTCAAACACCCCTGAGCCCTGAGCATCACAGATGCCACAATCCCTAGGGCTCAGGGGGTTTTCGCTGGGCATGGTGCACCCCTGTGGCTGGTAGGGGCTACCCTATCAATTCATGGGGCTCCCAGCTGCACAGGAGACCCTGCTACATGTGCAAATTAAAGCTCAATAGCAACTAGTATGAAGTTAGTACACATTTTCGAGATCTAACTTTATGGCTGGTTGGAACTTTTTATGGTGTGATAGCTACGTTGCATGTGTAGCTGGTGTCTAAGTATTTGCGTGGTTTACAGGTATTGCTCAATTAACTGGTCAACATGTGGAGAGGGCCTTTAGTTTTCCACGTAAGTCTGTGTAAACGAACAGTCCCATCAGCAAATATGAGCATCAGAGTGTAGCCAGCTACTACAATCATTTGCCATACATAAACAGTTAGGTACCTCTATTAATGGTCTCTGTGCACAAAAAAAATCAACAATGGGCAGATCCAGGATTTTGAAAAGGGGAGTTCAGATGATGTGATGCATTATCCCGTATGGAACAACACATTTTGCTACTATGAAAAGTAAATGAGATCTTTACTAATATGCTAGGGGTGCATGGTTATATTATTCCATTTTAAAATTGATGCAGAAACAAATATGACTTTATTGGAATGTGCATTAATTTGCTATTAAGTACAAAAAACACAACAAACAAGACAGAAAAATAATCAAAAGACATGGTTTCTTTACTCCTGTAGTCGCTGGAATTAAAGGCACAGCTCTTTTTCAGATTCATAAAATAAAGCCTAGCTTTCTTGAGCAACCTGGTAGCAATCCAGTGCTTCACTGAAAGTTATTTCCACATCTAAGTTAATGATTTTAACTAGAACTAAAAACTGTCTTTAGTGCTGTGAAGTAGGAGCTATATTACTAGAGCAGCTAACACAGCAGAATTGTGAAGAAAGGTTAGCTTGATTAGTGGAAAAAGACTATTAAAAAGGAGAGAGGATCATTAACACCTATGGAAGGAAGTGTGGAGAAGGAATCAGGCAGATGATAATGGGCCATGGTTTCAATTGATTTCACTGCTGCCACGCAGTTGGTTTTAAACTTTAGGTACACCAGGAATGAAAGCGGGGTGTGGCTGCACCTGCCCCGAATCCATCCCTGTGTATAGATATCTCCTGTATCAATAGTGTGTGTGTGTGATCTCGTGCACACCTATGTACCAGCCTTCCTATTTTTGCCTTTTGCTGAAATAAGTTAGTACATGTATCTTAGCAAAAACCTCCTTTTCTCCATAAAGTCTGATAATCTAAATGTTGATTTGTGTTTTATCACAATGGAAATAATAATTTGGCTTTTGGAGTAAAATTTTGTACCTGCCTTGACTTTATTCCCCTTTATTTTTATATAGGCAAGGAAAGCTATAATGATGATATTTTTCTCTCATCTCCCTGCCTCGTGGACGCGCCATATTCTTGTCACTTTAGCACTTAATGCAACTGTTGTTTTGCTTGCGATGTATGTGCCTGACATTAGAAACGTATTTGGAGTAGTTGGTAAGTTTGGAGTTTTTTCCCCCTCTGCAAAAAGATTGTATATTATCTGCGTATCCTAGTGCCAGTCTTGCTGCAAGTAAAATCTTTCTTACTGTCTTAAAGGTTCTACCACATCAACAAGTTTGCTCTTTGTATATCCCGGACTGTTGTATCTTAAACTTAGCAGAGAGGACTTTATATCACCGAAGAAACTTGGGGTATGTTATTTTTCCAATGTTTTAGTTATATTCAAGACGCTTAATTTTAAATAAATGTTATACTGCAGAATGTATGCCTTGCTTCCCGCACTACACTGACTTTCAGTAGAGTAAAGTCTACAGTAGTTGTTGGGAGTCTGATTTTCTGCTAAGTTCTGTTTCAGTTCTCTAGTCATCCTGAAGCTAATGCAATCCATCTCTCTGATCACGTGTTTGTAACTAGCAAGAGGTCTAAGTACCACAACGTTGATCTAAATCTAGTTTTCCCCCAATATTCATAGCTGAGATTTTTTTTCTAGACACATCTGTGCTTTTAAATGTGGTTCTAATAGTTTGGCTTTGTTCTGATGGTCAAGCCAAACACAGGTCTCAAATAATCTGTCTGGAAAAATCCTCCTCTTTTCCCCTCCCGTACCCCGCCACTTATTTAAAATTTCCAGTGACAGCTACCAGAGATGCAGAACCACCAGTGGTATCCCTTGGTGGAAGTCTATCCAGGTAACAGACCTGTTGCCAGTGACCTACCATTTAAACCTGTGTCAGCTGAGGAAAGCTAAATAATGCAGAGGTGTAAAATACTGGCAGACCTTTTCTTCTCCTGTTACTGCCCATTGGACTGCACTAGTATTAGCAAGAACTCTCTAGCAACAGCACTCCCTCACAACTGAGCGTGTCGAGTAGCTGGGAACTTCTGCTTCACCTACCCTCTGAAATCTAACATGTTAGATTTTTTTCCCCTTGTTATAAATCTATAATCCACCTGCTGTTGCAATAATTTGTTCAAATAATTTGTTGAACAGAGAACAATGCGTCTAAACACGGTTTCTGTGCTGTCTGCTTCTGTCTATTCTGGCTGTCCCCGCAGCATTTACCAAACTGTTTTAACTTGAACCGTGTGTTAAGTAGACTTTTTAATTTCTGTTCCTTAACTTGTTTGGGAGCTCTGCGTGTCCAGAGAGCCAAATGGAAGTCCTTCCTTTCCAGGAATGTAGTTCAGTAAGCTAAGCACGGCCCTCTGCACAGTTCCCAGGTGGATATTGTGAACATGCCAAACCAGCCTTGAAAGTGAATTCTTGGTGAAATCATTCCCAAAACAGACTTAGCCTAATGCTTGTGTGGATAGATCTCTTTCTGAATGTGGTCTTTAATGAGTGTTGGAAAAAGCAGCTGTGTTGGACTACTTAGTTATTTTAAATACAGCAGATTGTTTTAAAATGCATTATTTTAAACCTGTCAGTGGAGGAGAGGAAGTTTTTCTCTTCTTTTGTAATTACACTTTCAATTAACAATCATTCTCAGAAGTGTAAATTACTTTCTATTGGCAAATATTCATTTGTGGGGGTTTTTTTTCTTTGTCTTCTCAGGCTTGTGCATTGCTTTTGTTTGGCATTTTTGTTGGTCTTCTCAGTTTAATTCTAATCATCGTCAACTGGATTAACGAATAATAATGCTTCACGTTGATTCTTAAGCTGGACTTGAGAAACAAAACAAAGACTTCTGGTGTGTGTCAAAACTGTTCAACTGAATACTGAACATCCTTGAGAAGAAACCCTACCAGAGCTGTGTATGAAACAAGTAATCCCCTGGTTTTTTGTTTAAATCTCAAGCCAGCTCCTTTGACTGGCAGATTCTTGTACGCACAGCCTTTGTGAGCCTACAAACATACTCATTTTTAAGTGACTTAACATTGGCATGGGTTAAAAGGCCATCTTATAATTATATTTTGTTTAATAATGAAATGGAACAAAAGGAGAATGTCATCTGTGTGAAATCTGTCAGATTTTGGGGAAGTTTAGAGTTAAACCTTTAGCTCTTGACCTGCCCTGGTAGGCAGAACTGAAAGAAGTTTCTTTCTTGTGTTTTGACTTGGATGCAGCTGAAAACCTGAGAGAGAGGCAGTTTTTTCAAGACCTTTGTGCATTTTGCAAGAATGAAGAAATCACATGCCAGTGGTTACATAAAAGTGGAAGATATCCATCACTTCTGTTCGAATAATTTGCAGAAGTCTTCCAGGCTGGTACGAGAAATCTTGGGCTATATCAGTCTCTGAATGGTTACCATAAACTCATCCTAGTCTGGATCCAGAGACCAGGTGCTTCAGCCCTAGATTAAATGAGCATATTGACGTTAGGAAAGTTTCCCTTCACATGTGTGTTCCTCAGTTTGCAGTTGCACTTTATTTTATAGTTTATACGTCAATGGACTTGAATCATCTTGGAGTGATTTTTGTAAAATAAACTCTCTGACCTCCTAGGACATTTGATGTGTATTTTGGCAGCAGTAGCAAACACTTCTATTTTGCAGTTAAGTTCTTGCAGTATTTCCGTTACAAATGCCTATTTTTGAATATTGATCGTATTACATGACTATTCACAGCTTGGGAGGCCTATTTTCCACCTCTGCCTCACTCACACATCCCTGTTGCTGGTCATTTCCATTGGTTTCCAGTTGCAAATTTTATAGCCCTAATTTACAATTATGATCATGTAGTCCAGTGGCACTCCAAGTCTTGGCCCCCCCGTAAGCCAGATGCACACATTCAGGGCGGGGGTCCTGTGTGCTGGGGTTGAGCATTGTACCACCCTTGCCCAGCCAGGATAGGGCCATAAGACCCCGACACCAGGATCAGGCTCCATACTGCCGTGTGCGCCCAGTCTAGCAGGCAGGGCTGTGGCCCATGATGCTCCCCGCAGATCCGTGTAGAGCCACGTGGGCCAGATGACATGACACCAGGATCTGGGCCTGGGTCTGGTCTGGGAGTTGAGCACCCCAGTCTAGTCTGATTTCTCGCATGCTGCCAGTCTTTGGATTTCATTTAACAGTTCCTATATCTAGCTCTAATAACGTCTATTTGAAGTAGCTCCAATTTAAATGTTACACTAGTGTAAGTTGAAGTAAAATCACACCCCAAAGATGAAATTGTAGTTTGCTTAAAAGGAATTTTACCTTATTGGACCAAGGCTTTGCCCTGAGTCAATAAACTTTTACATATCCCTTTTACGCACCATTTCTGCTTAAAATGAAATGTGAACGTCGCTTGCCGTAATAGTTGGACTTTCTCTGAGGTCTGATCCACACGATGCTAAAAATGGCTTTGGCAGCCCACAACCAATATTATTTAAGTTCTGCCATCGTGTGCAACAATAGTCTAGTGGCAGACTTTTCCATTTCCCTAGTATGCATGGGGCCCAAAGTACTGGAAATGCCCTAATCTCTTCAGAGATTTTTATCCTCTAAGGAAGCTAAGCCTCCACAGAAAGGAGGCTTGCATAACATAAAGAAAATAGACATTAGGCTGGAATGGCAAGATTTAGAAGGTGGAGAAGTTCATCATTATTTCCAGATGAGATATTGGTTTTTATTTGGCTTCCTGCTTTTTACATCTGCAAGGTAGGATAAGACACGCACAGAAATGAAACGCTGTAAAGCAATATGTTTATGCAACATAAAAGCCACTATTAAAATAAGTAGCAGTTGTATAACTTCATATTTCCATCTGATGCATGTGCACAAATAGACTACTGCTGAGCAGGAACAGTTGATAAAATTTAGTAATATGGTATTGTCTGAGGCCATATGTAGTGCAATAAAACAAAGATCAATAAACTAAGCTGGTCGTATGGGGAATATGATTTCCCCAAAGCATGGCTGTTCTAGCTTATTTGAAAGAGAAGTCATTGCGATTGGCCAGCGCAGGAGAACTGAAGTCGGACTTGAAATATGAATTTAGTAGAACGACTTTCAAATGGTTTTTCTACCATTTATAGTTTCATGCCTTGGTATTTTCTAGAGGGGGAAAAATAGGAAACAGGCAACATTAGGCTTCTCACGTGGGTATTAAATTCTTTAAAGAATGAACAAGATAGAAAGTGGCTGCATTTTTTCCAGTCTGAAGGGGCTGTGGAAGGATTTGAAAGATGATGTGGCCAGAAAAGCCTCTCACCTGCCGAATAAGTTGGTTCAGTACAGCCCCACCATGTCTCTTGCTGGTGGAGTATGTAGGGAGCTGAGTTATGGTTCCTTGTGGAGGATCGGGGCTTTGTCGTTCCATTTTGATTATTCCATTTTTGGGTCATAAGAGGCTAATTCTGTTACTCTGGAGCTGTGATCTCAAGAGGTGCAGTCCTCAGCTCAGGAATTGAGGGTTATGAGGGTGGCTGTTGATCACCTTCCTGAATCAGGGGCCAGAAGCAATCCCACAAATGAGATTGCTTCAGCGTCCAGGCGCTAGAACAATTAAGCACTGTCCTGCCAACCTGGGATCATCAGAGTGCTTGGCACGTTTTGACCCTATATTGTCCAGAAAGGACTAGTCGAGGATGGTATTAATATTATTATGTGTACGAGTCCAAAATTACTTTGTGCCAGGTTAATTGGCAGCTAACCCTGGACCTTAAGATAGAAGTGGACCAGCATGTCGCTATGATTGGATCAGGGCCCACAATATGAGCCTTGGAGTTGCTGTAGCGTATTTCTCTAGTCTTTGGGAATGAACATGATCTCTTGAGAAGACAGAGTGTCTACGAGTGTCTTTGATTCATCTCTGACTTAGGAGTTGAAACAAACTGCTGAGAGAATTTGGGCGCTGTCTGAACCTACGGTCCCCTGCTTCCTTCAGCCAAGGGGTTCCAGCGTGGATTTGCAGAACAAACCTGGACGATGAAGTCCTCCGTCCTGCACATCATCCCTCTTGCCTCCATCCCCTCCCTGCCCCCTTCCTTCCCAGGTTTGTTCTTAATTTCCATGTTTCAGAGTTGATTACACTGCACATGTTCACCTGTTCAAATATCTCAAATGATAGTGTAAAAACCTGTGCAGAACATGCCAAAATGTGCTTCAGGGAATCATGACAGCGATGACAGTTGTCCATCAACAAATGTGTTAATGCGGGGTCTGATCGGCAACTTGGGTCCTGAATGAGCTGAGTTTTGAATTTCCATGAAGGATACTAGAAATCTGCCAAAATTGCAATCAGAATCCCTGGGGCATTTCCATAAAGGTTCTTTCTCTCTCATACAGACACCATTTGCCTTGCTTTTATACGTTGCTATTAGGTAATATTTTAAGATGCGATTATTTCTTTTTAAAACTATTTCAAACTCCACCAGTATGTTAACATTGAAAATCAGCTGGGTGAATCGGGAAGCTGGCAAGATCATCCAAAACCTCCTATCTCCTCTCTCTCAGGAGAAAGCATAGGCCAGCAACAAATTCAGAACCCTGCTCCTCTGACGGGGCCGGATTGAGATCTGGGTTTCAAATATTTTGAAAGATGTGACTGAAGGCATGCCGGAAAATGTGAATCCCTCAGTACAAATTTGTATACATTTTTCTGGTAATTATAATCATTTAAACTAGAAAGAGAGACCTTCCATTGTATTTTTTTTTCCAAACCCTAGGCATTGCTTAAACCGCCATACTTTTTAAAATGTTGAATGCCAGCGTTTGATGTTAGTGCTCAATTAAGATTAATGCAAGCAATTCACAAATCTCAAGCTGTGTTAATTCATCTCTAGCTGTAGTGCAGTCAAGACAGTACAGCAGATTGATTATTTTGGAAGGAAAAAACTTTAAAATGCTACTTTAAAAAATATGCCTATATGAGATTAGGTTTAAGAGAATCTACAATCTGGAGGAAAACCGCTTACATTTCCAGAATCTATAAATTCTGTTTTTGGAAGAATCCCTGGATAAAAGGTGCCTTTTTAGTCCCCATTTTCTGAAGCAGTGACACTAACAGATTTCGTATTCTCATGTGAATACTTTTTTTTTTTCTTTTTCTTTTTAATTATGTTTATGGTGCATATATGCGCTAAATGGAAATAGAGATAAAATGGACTTTGCCTGTCATAGAGTCGTGGGGTTGGGAGGGAGCTCTGGAGTTCATCGAGTTCATCCTCCTGCTCAAGGCAGGATCATCCCTGACTAAACCGTCTCAGCCAAGTGTCCGTCTAACCTGCTCTTAAATACTTCCAAGGATGGAGATTCCACCACCTCTCTGGGGAACCCCTTCCAATGTTTCACCTTCCGAGTGAGAAAGCTCTTCCTGATCTCCAACTTAAATTTCCCTTGCTGCAATTTAAGAACATTGCTCCTTGTCCTGTCCCCTAGAATGAGCCTTTTGCACTGCTACATCAATATACTTGCATCTCGACTGAAGAAACACTGGCAAGAAGGCTACGTGGGGCTTGCAGTGAAGTGATTTACTTTTGCACTAATCAAACTTAGTAGAAGTTTTTAAATCAAAGTTTCCCTTTTATTTTTTTTCAAATGAAACACGGCTAACAGAATGGAATTTGTTTTAAAGAAACCGCTAGCTTTTGTTGGTGGGGGGAAGAACAGGTGAGGCAAGGGAGACTGTTTTGGGGCAGATGGGGAGAGGCGTATACCAAAAATGAAATAATTTTGCCACCAACTCTCCTTACCAATGCAAGCCATCTCATTTTGGTGCAGTATGTCCATACCAAAATACTGCCTATGATTATTGCCCCAGGGCAAACTTCCCTGATCTATGGGGGCTTTTTTTCTTTTTATAAAAAGTGCAAAATGTGACCCCAGCTGAAAAGCATCCTTAAAGGGTTGTGTTTCTTCCTGTGTATTTTCTTGCATTTCTTCTGCTGTATTGCCACTCTTAAATTCCATTCTTGTTCTTACTAATATGTACCGAGCTTTCTCCAAATGTCTTCCTCTCCTTTGAAGACTTGAAAAGGGTAAAAAGGAAGGACCTTTGCCTTCCTGCTCCTGCAACAGGTGCGAGATCACCTGAAAGGCGGCCTTTAAGCACGGTAAGACAGATGCACATGAATTGGGAGGCTCTCTTTAGAGTAAACAAATCGTTCTCCCGTTCCTCTTCCTCGCACATTTGAAGACTGATCATATTACTGGCCTATCTGGGTGCATCGGGGGTCGAACTGAGCCTCTCAGAGGTAAATATTTGCAAGCAGACTTGCAGAAAAGGAAATGTGTGAACAAAGGAGCTTATGCTTTTAAACTCTTTAGTTTTGTGAAACGCTTGCTCTCTGTTTTGCTCACCGGTGCCTGGTAAGCAGTCTGCATCTTCATGATACCTTATTTCACAGCAGCAGAAGTTTAACAAAAATTCTCAGCTGTTTCCCTGTACATTCAATACTGGGTCCCTTATGTCTTTGGCTTGGCTACCTTACAAATCTGGGCAGTATTAAAGAGCCATAGTTGCCCCTTTATTTTTGCCATGCCAAAGTAGGCAAACAAGATTCTTTGGGTAGGTGTGATATCTTTTATTAGACCAACGAAATAATTGGAAAAATTGTTCTTTGCAAGCTTTCAGGTACAAACACCCCTCTTCAGGCCCAGGGAGAGCGTGTACCCAGGAAAGCGCACACAGCAACAACGGACTCTCCCTGGGCCTGAAGAAGGGTGTTGGTGCCCAAAAGCTGGCAAAGAATAATTGTCCCAACTATCTAGTTGGTCTAATCAGATGTATCACACGTACGCAAAGAACCTTGTCTGCCTATGTCCTCAGACCAAATGGCTACAAGCAACAATCCTAAAACCTGCGGAAGAAGGCTCTTAGTTTAGCAACACAGCTAATTAATCGCTCTGTAGCTGGACGGTGTAGGGTTTATGGCTGTAGTGAAATGTAGCTGGGGTAGCTTCACATGTTGGGGCATTTGCCCTTGTAACACAGGGAGGCCTGTCCATCCAGAACTGTGAAATCATTTAATAAATGTGTGATACATTTGAGTGCATCGTATTTCATACTCCAGCGGAGAACAGTGGAAATGATACCCGACTAATTAGAATGAAATAGCGTTCTGGTGCACTGCCATCTCTGTCTCCCCTGTCACTGCTCTGACAGCACATGTTTTTACAAGCCATCCTGAAGCGGCCAATACTTGCATTGTTTGCATGGGAGAAAATGAGCTCATGTCTTATTCGGACTTTTCTCATACTGCGTGAAGATGTTATTTGCTTCGGTAAAAACATGTAATGCAATGCTACGTACGCTTAATTAATTAAGCACCTTTTAAGACAGCCAGTGAAGCCCAGGAGATTTCTACCCCTAGGAAACTGGCTGGAGATCACAATCAGCAGAATATTCTAAAAGAATTTCTGTTATATATAAAATCATAGGAATGACTTTCCATGGAAAGATGTGCACATAATTGATTGTATGGGCCATTATGACAATAATTCAGTCTTATTTTGAAGAATGCATTAATAGATAAGTCCAGAGACCAGGGCTTTTGGTGCAGGTGCAGTACTCTCCCAGCATCATCTCTGAGTTGGGATTTGATTTTAATTTATACTTAAAATGAAGTCATGGTTCTACAGCTCACTTTAGAATTGAAAGTTTTACTTGTATCCTGCAAGCCTTTTTTTTTTTTCTTCTTCTTTTTTCCCCTGATTGAAAAACTTCAGGAGATATTTACTTCATCTCTTCTATTCTTGCCAAACCACTAATGGCAAAGAATTTTGAGTAGTAAAACATGGCTGTCTAATTTCCAAAATATACAGGGAGCTGTGCATTGTGAGATCTAGCGATCACTGCATGAATAATGTAGAGTTACGGTGCTTTTAAAAGCAATCGTTATCCAAGGTCAGACTTTTTTGTTGTAAAATGTATTTCCTTATTCTTGTACCTCAGTCCCACTCAGGTTGCTTGTGGAACAACCATGGGTTTATTAAAAAAAATAGACAATAAAGAATAATATTTTCTTAACTCGTTTCACTACCTGTTTTGTTTCAGAATGATTTGTGCAAAACTTGCCTATTTAATAAAATTAAACTTGTTGCATTCTCACAGTTAATTTCCTAAGTGTACAAGTGCTCCTAGCATTACTAAAACCACTAAGACAGTGTGTGTCTATGCCTTTCTTTATGCATCAGGTAGTAGTGCAAGAGTCCTGCATTTCAAATAGCCTTCTGTCTACTTGTTCCTGCATAAATCACATCTGCGCAGGATCCAGTGCAGCCTAGCGCCCCTCAATCTCTGATAGATAAAGATGGTGCTCGGTGTGCTCCTGTTAACTCTTCCTCAAGGATCTGTTTATTTTGAGTATAACACAGAGGAGCAAAATACATTTTACTCCTTGAATTATGCTCAGTGAAACATTTAGTTGCTTATATAACTTCACACAGGAAGAATTGCTACCAAATTCCTGCAAGGTAATGGTTTGATGCACAGGAAAGCCACCTTACGCAGAGATCAGCCAAGGAAAAAAGAAATCTGCTTTCCAGCAGAGCTGAGCTCAGGTCTGTGGCTAAGCAGCATGCGGCTTTTATATGTTTTATACACCTTTATATCTCCTTGGTTTTAGTACACTGGGCAGTAACGTTGGCCCCAAGTAGTTGAGACAGAGATTGGGTAAGTCCTCTGAATTACCGTGTACACATGATTAAAGGCTGCACCACTCCAAGTTATGTCATTGCAAACTAAACTGCATTGGGATGGGCATTCGTTTATGACCACGCAAACTCATTTAAATCACCACAAACTCCTTCATTTAAAGTGTGATGCCATTAAGCCACGTACAAGGGCAATTTTCATCATGTGTACAAGCGCCCTGCGTGGTGTTCCCCCCCGCAAGGAGGCTATAGGCTGCAGTGCATCGTAGGGGTCAGGTGAGAGGGTAACTTGATTGTCGGTTTCTAACGAAGGGGTTGGGAAGCTAATTGGTTATAGGACGTAGACTGAAAGCTTGGGGCTGGGACTGGGCCTTTTAGTCGGCAAAGCATCACACCTATGTGCCAAGCATCGGCCCAAGGCAGCTGGAAAAGCCCAAGATGCAGTCCTGAAAGTCAGGCCTTTATCCTTTGGAATAGTCTCACTGTTGTGTGACTGGTGTAATTGCAACCACTGTATGAATAAGATCATGCTCACATGTGCAGTGCTCTGGGCTGTGTTTAATTAAGCTCATTTTCTCCAAGCCAAGAGCATGCAATCAGGGCCCCCCCACCTTGGAGCAAAGCATGGAGCATTTTGTCTTCGCCGCAGCAGCTGCTCATACGTGTTTTTTGTTACTGACTGGGCCGTCTCCATGCTTGGCATTTCTCTTGCTTCCACTCTAGCATAGTTCCTTGCACGTTAGTGGTTTACACAGCAGCCATGAGACGCCAGGCAGCTCCCTGCACCTGGTTTAAATTTAAAGCTCGTTTGCACATGATGTCACACTTTTATTGTCAGCACAGCAAAGGTCAAGATGGTTCATTTGGGGAAGGTTTGCATTGTTGAGTCTTTACAGTGCTGCCATTAATGCCTTAACCATCTGACTTGCATTTCAGTTTTCTGGCATGATGTAATCCAAGGCACTAGATTTATAAGATGAACGGGAAGCGAGTGTGGTAGCTAATCGGGTTGGTTTGTAGAACTACTTTTCTGGAGACCAGGGTAGGAATTATAGCACCACATGTCATGTAGCAAATCATGGGCCTAGCCAGAAGAGTTAACAAGTCGTGGACGTTTGGGTGGCTGTTACAGCCTGCCGGCTTTGCAGGAGTGCAGCCAGAGGAAGCGCGGGATTACGGCCCCACCAGCTAGAGCAGAGCACGAGGTTCTTGGGGGCTTGCTCTCTCTGCACTCCCACATAGCTCCTATTGATAATGGGATTTGCACACCGGTATGGAGAAAAGCTTTGGGACACCAATTCAGAATAAAACAATAGGGCAGAAATAAAGGAGCATGAAAAACATGGACCTCGTTCTCACCTTCTCAAGTTGTGCTCTGGTGTTTCATTTTGCACGTGGGTTTTGGATGGATATTGAACATAGCATGTTCCCAGCTGAGCTTCGGGAGCTTGTCTGTAGATCCCGGTCTTGGAGAGCAGCTTAGGTAGCCTCCTCTGTACTTTGATTTCTTGCAATTATGGCTCTGGGGAAAGCTGAGAGCTACGTATTTAGTTGGGTGTCTGGGGATTGAAATGAACAACTTGCATCCCTTTAAAGGGAGAAGTGGCTGAATTCAGGCCCGTTATCCTCTGAAATATCCTTTTGGTTGTTACAGGGAGAGGTCATGTGCATAAAAATATACCTAATCTTACAGAAGACTTTAAAAGCCTGACCTCCTTTTTGCTATCACGCATTGTGACTACAGTTGTCACCGTGAAATTTGTACCTGCAATCTTTCTCTGTAGCTGTGATAAATTATAGGTTTCACTATTAATGCTTGGTAGGGTCAAAAGAAGCCATTCAAATATTAATATTTATACAAGCATATAGAAGAGGCAGACCAGTCTGGAGTACATCCAACACAATAGTTCTCACCCAGGGTGCTATAGATCCTTTAAAGCGGGGCTGGGCAAAATGTGACCCGCGGGCCAGATCTTGCCTGCCAGGTCATTCTATCCGGCCCGCGGGATCCCTAAAAATTTAGAAAATTAATATTTATCTGCCCCTGGCTGCGTGTCATATGGCCTTTGATGGCTTGCCAAGACTCAGTAAGCGGCCCTCCACACGAAATAATTGCCCGCCCCTGCTTTAAAGGGTGCCATGTAGTATGAACAGTGTTAGGCATGCAAACACCTACATGTGATTCATAAGACAAGCCCAAAGATTTCAAATAAGAGTCTATGGTGTCAAAACCATTTTTGCCCTGTTGTGGGCTTTCTGAGGTTTCTACAACAGATTAATAACTTTTTTTTTTATAGTCAAAAAATGAATGAAAGCCAAGAGCTGGCATTTTCTGAGGGGTGCGTTGAGTCTAATGAGGTTGTCTTGGGACTAGGAAGGTTTAGAACCGCCGGTCTAGTACGTGCCCATTCTGAGGTCTGAAAATGTCTCCTAAATGCTTATTTGCCCATTTTTACAAGGTCTAATCTGGGTCGTAACCCATCATCCATGAGGAGTGAGCCATAGCGCTGTTGGCTGCTCTGGTGTGAGTTTGGGGATGTGGCTTGATAGAGGTGTACACAGAGCTCTTGTCAGTGCTAGCAGAAGGGACGTACACCTATATCCACCCCCTTAGGGGTGAAGCTGTGGGAGTTTTGCCAAAGATTGGAATGGAGACAGCATCATATCCAGTCTAAATTAGCTAGAAACTGTCCTTCCGGAGCCGATTGATTAGACACACAACATAGGAGCTAACCAACTAATTTATTCCTCCATAACCATACAAGACAGGTGGACATCAACTTTATTTGCAGACAGGGAAACAAGTCAAAATTTCTACATGTGGGATGACTGAGTTTCTGAGAGTCCAGCCCAAGTTAGTTGGGCCCTGGGTTTGGAGGGGTTGAGTGTCGTGGCTGGACTTCGAAAATCAGATCCAAAGCCATAGACCTGCAA